CCACTGATTAAAATTACTTGTGGAATGGTATATTTACTCTTCAGTGAAGATGTTTGAGCATGATGCATGTGTTGGGATCAGTGAGAGATTGCTTTGTTACTACCACATGGTAAGGCCTCCACTAATGCATGATGGTTGGCTCTTTACGTCCCCCATAGTAAGAGATAGGCCATTGTGGCTCCTTACGTCCCAACAGTGAGGGATAGGCCGGGTTCAGCTCTTTGAAATCCCCTAAAGTGAGAGATATGTTGATGGGTTGCATCATTGCAATTGCATGGTTCTTTGTGGCTATCACTTACAATTTTACATGTAATTGCCCCCACTTGACATCTCACGAGCACCTATTCATCTGTACTCTATTTTGGAATGTTGGTTATTGGGACTTCTGTCTCACCCTGTAGTTATAATGTCTTCGGGAAGGGATGTGGAGGCTTGAGCTTGGTTAAGCTGTAATGCCTCTAGCTTGTGGTATATGTATGACCAGTGTATATTGCCACATTTATGGTCTTTTTGAGATATTTTGATTGCATGGCCTTATTGTAAACTGGTGAAAGTGTCATCTACTTATTTTGTTGGCCGGAGGCCATTCTTATTATTGTTTAAAATTCTAAATTTATGTTCATGGGGACAGTTGGATGGGCTTTTGTGCGATTCTCTGTTTACCCGAGCTTGAAGCCCAGTGGTCCAATTGAATGAACTTAGTGATTGATTGTATGAAAGATCTTTGGTTGCATGCAACTTGTTTGGGTTTGTACCCACAATTTAATTGTCAGCTTTAAAAAATGGTTTACAAGTTTTCTTTTCTACTATGGTAGCTTGTATAACAGTTTTCCTTTTCTACCATAATAGTGGGTTATATGCTAAGCTCTTTATGTGTTGGGGGAAGGAGTTTTACAAATTGGTACTTAGAGCCAGTCTTTTTCCTTGCAATTTGTTTCTTTTCCTAGTGGCAATATACATACTTCATATATACCTTCCTGTTTATTTTATGTTTCCTTTCTTTTCTTTACTCGGAGAGGAAGGATGGTACAGACATGTCAGACAGACCCAGCCAGTAACAGGCTGCCTTAAGAGAATGATGCCTTTTTGAGGCAGATAAGAGTGATGATGACGTCAGTGGTAGACGAGAGATTAAGAAAGTTTGAAGAGGACTTCACGAGAAAGCAGCAAGAGTCAGTCAATCAGGAGGATCGACGGAACGAGGTGACTATAGAGACACGAGGAGAAGGCGAAAAGGGGCTTAGAGGTAGCGACCGAGCTGGAGACATACCTCACAGGGAGGAGTATCAGGAGGTAAGTTGGGAAGGAGATAATTTAGGGGGAGTAATCTACCCTCCACTACTGAATGACATCACCAAGGTATGGAGAGAGGTGCATCATTATGATCCTCCATAGTTCAAGGGAAGTTTGGAACTGTCAAATGCAGAGAAATGGATTGAGCAGATAGAGACAATCTTTACTTACCTTGTGGAACAAGTGAGACACTGGTAGATTAGTGCAAGGCCTACACATATATCTCAACCAGATTAGGATACCTTCAAATAGATGTTCGACGATCACTTCTTCCCGAAGGAGTTATAGATGGAAAAGTAGTTCCTGTTTTACTCCTTGAAGTAGGGTGAATTGCATGAGGATCAGTTTATTACAAGGTTTATTGATTTGGCCAAGTATGTGACAAGGCAGGTAGACGATCATTCCTTCTAGTTAGCTTAACAGTTGATGAACCACACAAGGCCGGCGTTAAAGTAGCAATTGGCCCTGTTAGAGGTTAATACCTTTGAAGAGATGTGTGTAAAGCTACAAGTTACAGCTAGAAGGACAAGAGAGGTGGCAGAGGCAAGGAGGATTGAGAACCAAGCTAGAGCAGTGCGTTACCTTGGACCTACCGGAGGAGTGGGAAAAATAAATCAATACAATTATGGGAGCTCGGGTAGCTCAGGGAGGAACAGAAATCAAGGGTAGAATCAGAGGTCAAATGCTCAGAGGGGCTTTATGCAAAGGCGTCAAAATCCGAACAGTCAAGCTAGTAGGGGACAGAGCTCCCGTCAAGATTCATTAATGACCACTTTGAGTGTTATGGGACTGTACCCCAGATGAGGGGGTAGGCATACGGGGCAATACTGGGAGTGCTTCCGATGCCATTGGTGGGGACATATTGCTAGAAACTACCCAGAGAGCTAGGTAACACCTCTAGTTAGCTGTTCTACTGTTCTGGGACATGTCTATGCCATGACAAACGAAGAGGTTTCTGCATCCCCAAATTTGATTCGAGGTAACATCTTATTCAAGGTGATGTTATTTCTGCTTTATTTGACTTGGGTGCTACACACTCCTTTATTTCAGTGGATTGTGCTCAAAAGTTGAGTTTGCCTATGGTTGAGCTACCATACAATTTGAGAGTATCTACTCCTACGGGGGTCACTGTCATAACTAGAAGGGTGTGTCTAAGGGTTGCACTTTGTTTTGAGAATCGAGATTCTACAATAGATTTGTTTTGTCTACCTTTACAAGCCATTAACGTGATTATTGGTATGAATTGGTTGATGGCCAATGGTGTAATCCTTGATTGTAAAAGGAGGTTAGTGACAATTTCATTGGGTGCATTATGTGCTGAGATGTCTAGTGGTCCAGTTCTATTGTCTGTTGCCTAAGTGGATAAGGCGATGAAGAAGGGGTATCAGGCCTTCATTGTATTCTTCTCAATCAATGAGAGTGAAGCAGGCAGAATTGAGCAGAAAGATGTGGTAAGGGAGTACCCAGACGTGTTTCCAGATGAGGTTGCAGGACTACCTCTAGAGCGGGAAGTGGAGTTCTCCATAGAATTGGTTCCGGGAACCACCCCAATTTCAAAGGCTCCGTATAGAATATCTCCTTCAGAATTGGTCAAATTGAAAAAGTAGCTAGAAGATTTATTGGAAGAAAGGATTCATCCAAACTAGTGTGTCGCCATGGGGATCATCGGTGTTGTTTGTAAGGAAGAAAGATGGTAACTTGAGGCTGTGTATTGACTACTGATAATTAAACAAGGTCACAATCAAGAACAAGTACCCATTGCCTAGAATCGATGATTTGTTGGACCAGCTAGTCGGAGCATCAGTTTTCTCTAAGATCGATCTAAGGTCAGGATACTATCAGCTAAGGGTGCAAGCAGAGGACACCCCAAAAACAACCTTTCGAACTCGTTACGGACACCATGAGTTTCTAGTGATGCCTTTTGGACTCACAAATGCTCCAGCCGTCTTTATGGACTACATGAATCAGATCTTCCAACCTTATTTGGATAGATTTGTGGTAGTGTTCATTGGTGATATACTGATTTATTCTAAGAGCGAGAAAGAACATCAAGAGCATCTCCACATCGCACTACAAATTTTGAGGGACCATCATTTGTATGCTAAACTATCAAAGTGCGAGTTCTGGTTAAAAGAAGTAAAGTTTTTGGGTCACATTGTATCTGCTCAGGGAGTGGCAATGGATCCTAACAAGGTGGATGCAGTACTAAAGTGGGAGGTTCCCAGATCAGTAACCGAGGTGTGGAGTTTTGTGGGATTAGCTGGTTACTATTGGAGATTCATTCAAGGCTTTTCTCAGATTGCAATACCATTGACTAAATTAACCAAAAAGGATCAACCGTTTGTTTGGACGGAGAAGTGTGAAGCGGCGTTCCAAGAGCTGAAGACCAAGTTGACTACAGCCTCAGTCCTTACCCTTCCAACTCCTGGAGTGCCTTATGCTCTTTACACCGATGCATCACTAAAAGGTTTGGGATGTGTGCTTATGAAAAACAATAAGGTGGTGGCATACGCTTCTAGGCAGTTGAGGCCACACGAGGAAAACTACCCTACCCTTGACTTGGAGCTAGAGGCAGTAGTTTTTGCACCAAATATCTGGAGGCATTATCTGTACGGCTCCTAGTTTGAGGTCTTCAGCGACCATAAAAGTTTGAAATACTTAGTGGATCAGAAAGAGTTGAATAACCAGCAACGTCGTTGGATGGAGTTCCTGAAGGACTATGATTTTGAGATTAAATACCATCCTGGAAAGGCCAATGTGGTAGCTGATGCTCTGAGCAGAAAGGCGGTGCATGTGTTCTGCATGAGCTTAAAAGAACAGTTCTTGCTTGAGGAATTATTAGAGATTCCAATTATGCCGTTGGTGTAGGTGACTCTCTGTGCAGTGCTCGGGGATTATGAATTCTATTAAGACTTACGAGCAGCTCAGTGGGAGGATGATCAACTAGCAAGGATTCGGGTTGAATTGGAGAATGGCCCAGTGCAGGACTACGAGTTTGGAGAGATGGGCATCTTGAAGTATAAGAACCGGATTTGTGTTCCCTATGATGAGGAGATTAAGAGAACTACCCTAGAGGAGGCTCACCGTAGCCATTATGCCATCTACCTCGGTGCCACCAAGATGTACCATGACCTAAAGAAGTAGTATTGGTGGCCCAATATGAAGAAGGAAGTGACTGACTTTGTACTTTGATGTTTGACTTGTCAGAAAGTCAAGATAGAGCATCAAAGGCTAGGATGTTTGTTGCAAGGGTTAGAAATCCCTCAATAGAAATGGGACAGTATCTCTATAGATTTCATAGTGGGTTTACCAAGGACACCCGAAGGTTATGATGCTATATGGGTGGTGGTGGACAGATTGACAAAATCAACTCACTTTTTACCGTATAAGGTCAATTATACCTTGGAAAGAATGGCCAAGTTATACATAGATAAAATCGCCCGGCTTCATGGTGTTCCATTGAGTATAGTCTCAGACCGAGATCCGCGCTTTACTTCTAACTTTTAAAAAGCGATAAATGCCCCTTGGGCACTAAGTTAAAGTTCAGTACGGCATATCACGCCCAGACCGATGGACAGATTGAGCGAACAATTCAGACACTAAAGGATACGTTAAGGGCTTATGCCATCGAATTCAAGGGGAGTTGGATTGATCACCTACCTTTGGTTGAGTTTGCCTACAATAACAGTTACCACGCCAGTATCCAGATGGCCCCTTATAAAGCACTCTACGGCCAGAAGTGTCGATCACCCCTCTGCTGGACGGAACTAAGTGAAAGAACAGTTTTAGGACCAGACTTGGTAGATGCCACCACGGAGAAGATTGAGGTCATCAAACAGAAGTTGCTGATAGCCTAGAGTCGGTAAAAGAGTTATCCGATAGGAGTAGGAGACCGTTGGAATTTAATAAGGGTGACCATGTGTTTTTAAGGGTCACACCCACTATTGGCATTGGGAGGTCCATTAAAGCGAAGAAGTTATCTCCTAGATTTCTTGGACCCCTTGAAATTTTGGAGAGAATTGGAGAAGTAGCCTATAGTGTGGCTTTACCTTCGCATTTGTCCAATGTGCACAATGTGTTTCATATGTCCCAACTTAAGAAGTACCACCCTGATCCGTCTCATATCCTAGAACTTGAAGAGGTGGAGTTAGACGACAACCTAACTTACCAAGCAGAACTGGAAAGAATTCTTGATGTAAAGGATAAACAGTTGAGAAATAAGACCATTCAGTTGGTAAAGGTGTTTTGGAAGGGCATGAGTTTGGGTGATGCCACCTGGGAGACGGAAGAACGGATACAGCGCGAGTACCCTCTTTTGTTTTCTTAGTAAGTGTTTGGTGTGTGTTTGTGCAGTGCCTTGTGTGATTGCTTGAATTTTGGGGACAAAATTCTTTAGTTGGGGAGAATTGTAATATCCTGAGTTTTAATAGCCCTTTAACCCTGTTTTTTTAAGGATAATTGGTGTTTAAACTTGAATCTTGGTATCTAGTTTGGGATCAAAGTGAGTTGGAGGAGCAGGTGAACAAATCCCTCTCAGGATTTGTTCTCTGCGGCGAAGTGAAACTTCGTTATGACGAAGCAGAGAGTTTTAGGAGAGCTTCCTTTCGATAATAGGTTTTCGTCGTGACTAAGTTAAGGTGGAGTTGCGACGAAAGGTGTCAGGTAAGCAAGAGTTCCTCTCGGGATTAGTTAGTCGCGACCAATTACTGGGTTCGCCGTGGTGAAAAGGTCGTGTGTTTAAATCTAGAGGAGGGGTCTGATATGCAAAAATAAGATTTTCTGAAGGTAGGAGTTAGAGCTCTGCTAGGGATTTTTGAGGATTTTGTAGAGGAATCCTAGGGCTTTCTAGTTTCTGATGAAATTGAGATTTTTGACCTATTGTTTTGATTTAAATGATTGTTACCGGCTAGTCTAAGTATTTAATCGGTGTGGTTTTCTTGAATTTAGAGATTTGGAAGTTTTGGGAATTTGGGGTTTGTGAAAATGGAGGTCTATGATTGAGGATGATAATGTAGTGGTTGAAATTGAGTTTTGTGAATTGGGTTATGTTAAGGAAGGTTAAATTGGATGTTTAATTAGTTTAGAATGTTAGTAGGACTTGATTTTGTCCTAATTGGATGTTTAGGTGATGAATTTCTAGAGTAGGATTTGAGTTTCTCAATTCAATTGAGGTTTTGGAAGGGAAGCTAGAGTATTAATGGTCTCTTGTGGTTTTGGAGTGTTATTGTGATGACTTTTGGCCCTTGTGAGTTGGGTAGAGTTTTGGTTGAGCTAGGAATTTTGAGTCCCCAAATGTTGTGTTGACCATTTTATTAGTTTGAAAGCTAATACATGGTGGTTGTGTGTTTGTGTGCTTGTATAAACCTGTTGTGAGTATTTGTTGGTGCAAGGGGCATCGTGGTGTTTTTGTTATTCCTTGCTCAGGCGAGAGGCAACCACTTTCCAATCCTTTATGTATGCTGTTATGGTACTGTGAGTGGATTTATGTTTTGTGTGTCGAGTAATGACTAGTGTTCTAAATGTATTTTTGTATATTAAAAAGGAAGAATTGTCTTGTGGGGTTTTTGTACAATACTGAATGTACCGGGAATTTTCTGAAAGATATGCCACTGATTAAAATTACTTATGGAATGGTATATTTACTCTTCTGTAAAGATGTTTGAGCATGATGCATGTGTTGGGATTGGTGAGAGATTGCTTTGTTACTACCACATGGTAAGGCCTCTATTAATGCATGATGGTTGGCTCTTTACGTCCCTCATAGTGAGGGATAGGCCCTTGTGGCTCCTTACGGCGCCCACAGTGAGGGATAGGCTAGGTTCGGCTCTTTAAAATCTCCCAAAGTGAGGGATATGTTGATGGGTTGCATCATTACACTTGCATAGTTCTTTGTGGCTATCACTTACAGTTTTACATGTAACTGCCCCCACTTGACACCTCACAAGCACCTATTTGTCTGTACTTTGTTTTGGAATGTTGGTTATTGGGACTTCTATCTCACCCTGTAGTTATAATGTTTTCAGGTGAAGGTTCTAGGCCTACATCTTGGGGAAGGGATGATGGGGCTTGAGCTTGGTTAAGCTGTAATGCCTCTAGCCTGTGGTATATGTATGACCAGTGTATATTGCCACATTTAGGGTCTTTTTAAGATATTTTGATTGCATGGCCTTATTGTAAACTGGTGAAAGTGTCGTCATCTACTTATTTTGTTGGTCGGTGGCCATTCTTATTGTTGTATAAAATTCTGAATTTATGTTCATGGGAACAGTTGGATGGGCTTTTGTGCGATTCTTTGTTTACCTGAGCCTGAGGCCCGGGGCCCAATTGAATGAACTTGGTGATTGATTGTATGAAAGATCTTTGGTTGCATGCAACTTGTTTGGGTTTGTACCCACAATTTAATTGTCAGCTTTAAAAAATGGTTTACAAGGTTTCTTTTATGCTATGGTAGCTTGTATAACAGTTTTCCTTTTCTACTATAGTAGTGGGTTATATGCTAAGGATAATATTATTTAATTAAAATGGACTTTATGTGTTGAGGAAAGGAGTTTTACAACTAAGTTAATATTATTTAATTAAAATGGACAAAATATTTATATTTAACCCTAAAGATAATATTTAAATAAAGACTACATTAATTAAATGGAATAATCATCCATACCATTTAAGACAAGACTTAATATTTTATACTTACATGTTTTTGCAAATATTTATTCTATCATTGATAAATTATAGTGTCATTGATCCTTAATTCCTTATAATAGTTCAATTATTGAAAATGTAGTTTTGATTGGCAGACTGTTGGTAGGGGGAAAGATATGAAATAAGAAGAACAACATAAACTAAAAATTTTAAATCAAAAAATAACAACTAAATTAAATAGGAATTTGCTTAAACTTTATTATATTTAAATAAATCCATAACACAAACCAATACTCCTAAGGCCTTAACACTAGAGTAGATACTTTTTCTTTTTTAACTAAAGACAAAATGATATTAAAAAGAAGCAAAGTTTACAAAGTACATATTGAGAGTAAACCAACTGAAAAGGAGTTAAAATAAAATTTTTTAAAAAATAACATTAAACTCATAATAAGAATAATCGTGAAGAAGTACAAGGAATTCCTGCCAAGTAATAGTTAAGTGGTTGATGGAGCGAGCAGGAAGTTGCGGAAATCTTTTAGGTGGGCCTTGATAGCAGAGGATACCATGACAATAGTGAGCGTGAGCATTTTTATATTTATATAGAAGAATATCCCAATCATGCATCTGACTAGGTTGTTGAGGCGGATCCAATTATATTTTTTGTTGTAAATAGGTTTACTCACAAGCATAGTCAAAGGCCAGAGAATAAGCTTAAACCTTGAACCTCCTAAATCACTAATAAGGAGGTTCCTTTTTACCCTTATGTAAAAATTGATTTCTTTTTTTTTGCCAAAGGGTATGCAATAAGCAAATAATCCCATAAATTAAGTGTGAATGACCTTCTTTTTGTAAAGCAAGGAAAGTTAAAGTTATCCAGATTTTGAAATCCTCAAAGTTGTTAAGGTCAAACTGAATTGAAAAATAGCCATACCAAAGGGCTCTAGTATAAGGATAAGAAAAGAACAAGTATTCTAAGGATTCCTCTTCATCACAAACAAATTAGCTGATACGTGCCAACAGTAGCTTAAATGAATAGATACTTAGCTGGCAAGAGAGGGAGTTAAGCATTTAGTTAGCTGGCAGAACTAATAGTTGTAACAGACTCAAATTCTAGAAACTGTAAGAAGTTATAAATACTACCTCACGTGTAATTCGCAGTTGTGGAATAAAAAGTCTGTATTCTATTCTTTCTTTTCTTATCTCTCTCTCTTCCCTCTACAGCAGAGCTGACCTCTGGCTTTGGCACCAGAGACATATTCCTCAGATTGGTTGAATGAGTTGGAGCAATGATTGGAGATACACACCATTTTGGTCCAGGGAAGTCGCACTCATCTTAAACAGAATTCAGTAGATATCTCTGATTTAAAGCAATCCATATTATGTATTGAATCGTGTTTGTAGAGTCTCACTGGTATTGTTATGCAATTGGTAAAATAGAGTATAGGAGAGCATACTGGTGGCTTTATAAGTTCTAATCAGAGGGATCTTCAATTCAGTACATATGGCCATTCAGCGAGCCAGTATTTTGCTCTTACCAAGACTACATGAGTGAAATTCCCACGTTTCGATGGCTCCTATTTTTCATAGATGGTCTTACTGTTGCAAACAATTTTTCACATCAATGCTACACCTTTAAAGCATCAGATCTGTCTCTTGAGCATTCATCTTGAGGGAAAAGCACTCGAATGGAACTTGAATTTTATAAAGACAAGACGTGAATACAATCTTTTAGGGGACTAATATTTTAGCCATTTAGAAGTGTAATTTCCAGAGATTAAACATCTCAGTCCCATAGTGCAATTAAAACAGCTACATCAAACAACAACAGTCGATGAATATATCAAAGCCTTCGATGGTTTACTTAGAGAAGTTGATCTTCCAGAAGCCATTATTATAGATTGTTTTTTGGGCGACCTTCGTCCTGACATTAATCATCTGTTGATGTATTTAAACCTTCTATTCTTGTAAGTCTCATGCAAATGGCCAGAATTCAGGAACGAACCATTGTAGCTTGGTGTACAGCTAATCCAAAATTGAAATCGTACATGTTTTCCTCCACTTTGTCTTCTCTGCAAATTTCCTCAGCATCATTATCTACACAATTCCCTCCTCCACTTTAAAAATCAAGAATCTCTACTGCTTCGTCTTTCCTTTTAACTCCTTCTGTTAATAAACCTTTGATTACCTTGTCGAAGAAAGAAATGGAGGATCGCTGAAAGAAAGGATCATGCTACTGGTGCAATGAATGGTATTCGGCCTCTCATAAGTGTAAGCAATCTCAAGTCATGATGCTAGTAATTCTGGAGACCATTGATGAGGAATTTATAGACACTATTGATAATTTAGAAGAGGGCACTCTTCAAGATTTGCCAACAGCTATTATTGATGTTGTTGATGGAGCTTTAGGGGCTTCTACATTATGTATTGAAGGTTACATTAAGAGGTGCCGAATCATTATCCTAATTGATACTAGCAGTACACACAATGTTGTCAATGCTTCATTGGCAAAGTAGCTACATTTACCAATAACCACAGATGAAGCGATGAATGTAAATGTTGTAGGGGGCGAACGCTCATCATTGATAAATTTTCCCATGACCTGTCTTAGTCAATACAAGATTCTTGGTTTTGTGATGACTTTCTGGTAATGGACTTAGGTTAATTTGACCTCATACTGGGTGC